CTATTTTGTATCCCTGAAATCCTCCTAAACCACATTTCTGCTGCAAGATTGAGTTGTTTCTTATATATTTTTATTATGAGCAAAGACTGTTTTATCGCAGTATGAAATCTGTTCCTTAATAATTTGAGAAATATGGTTTTTAGGCTTTTTCTTTTTTAAATATAACATTAACATTTCTGTAACAAACTATACAAAGTGAAGACCCTGCATTCTTTCTTTACCAAATGGTGGGAAGTAATGGCCAAATTCATCTTCCTACTGCAACACATTCCAATTAGATGAGAAGAAAGGAAAGGGAAGTTAGAAGTTTCCACTAGTTTGTAATCTATCACTAAATACAAACAATTTAAATTTCAAAGTCTCTAGCTTTTACATCTCATTACTTTTTTTTTTGTATGCTTTCTAATAGATTCCAAAATGTATGAAAAAGTCCTATAACACTTGCATATATTGAGTTGCAGTGATAAAATTAGGTAGCGTCATCAAGTTCCTTAGATTCTACTAAAGTCACTTTATACTTTAAAAAAATACTCTTTTCGTAGCTTCTTTTCAAAGCTAACAGGAAACAAAACATGTCTTCACTCAGAAGACACTTAGACACATATAAGTTGAAAAATAATAATCTAAATGAGTCAGTCACCTGAAGGTGAAAGGGGCCTGAATATTTTGCATGAACTTCTTTCCTTAAGAGACAGCTCATACAGAAGGCTGATGCAAACTGAAAGCTAAAACCAGATGAAGAGATAAAAACAGTAGATTTACAGGAGATGAAGAGATAAAATAATAGAATTACAGATTTTGAGCGGTCTCTTTTTCACTATCCTGTAACCTTGTAATTAAAAGTCACAAATTTTACAATAATAAGTGTGAAGAATTAAAGCTGGCAGCAAGAAATTTTACATTTGGAGTACAGGCAGTGATTTCATGGCATACATCAGCGGCCTGATGATCAGTGGAGCACTGCCACCCCCTCCATTTGTCCTCCAAAGAGAAACTCTGGAAAAAAAAGGCAAGTCCAGGAGATGCTTATCCCTTTGGCTTCCAACATGCTCCATGTTATGCTATAGGATCTCCTTCCCATCATGACCTTTCATATGGGAGAAAAAATAGACAGGGGTGAATCTGCCTTTGCAAAGAACACTAAAGAAAACTACTCTTGCACCACTACCAARTTCAGGTGAACTGCACATGTTGCCTTTTTGCAATGTTTGGTATAGTAAAAGAAAGATGATGAGCAAGGTACTTCATTCGATGGACAAAAAGTACCTAAGAACTGTGTCACATGATCTCTAGAACAAGTATGAACAATACACTTGTGTGCACTTTCTAATGACAAAAATGCAATTCTAATGACAAAGCCTTTCACACTCATTCCTTTTGATTTAATATTATCCAAGTGTACCCATTTGGAAGATCTACAGTACTATATTCGGCATATATGTAGGAGCTGCAAGCATTTATGARATTCCTCATATAAATGCACTATCTCTACTTTAAGCTGACATCACTAGAAAGTAGTTTGCTTACTTTTTTTTTTTTTTCTCCTACATTCTTTACTTGGGATGGACAAAATATCTAGTTTTACTGAAATTAGCTGAGCTCTACCACACTGTGAAAAATGACATTATCACAAACAGAAGCCAAGTTACCATTTATGTTAAACAAGTGGACAGAGTAACACCTACATTTGAAACACAGCTCATCTGATACAGGGGCCAGACAGAGACTTCAGAATGCAAGTCAGTACAGTCTTCCTTCAAACTGCACTTCATTACTAGAACCTGAAACACGCAGAACTCAAATTCTCCCTTCATTGTGTGATSCCCATACACATATTCCCTTATGAAGCAACAAACAGCAATGATGCCTCTACAAGCAATTTCTAACTTCATTATATTTTGTGCAGAGATTAACTGCAGAACACTAATTTCAAAGCATTATATGAAAACAGAATACTGAATAGCTTAGAGTTTATAAATGCATTTATTCCAGTGGTGAAGGGCTTAAAACACAAAGATTAGGATTGCTTCTGCCACAGAAAGTAAAAGATGTTTCTAAAGTATGTTCTCAGCTGACCAAACGCTATTTATAATGTGTTTGAGGCTGGTGACTCACCATGCTACATTCTAGAAATATTATTTACTTCCTTTTCCTTATCTCTGGCTTAAAGTCCAATATTTTAGTTGCAAAGTGATGGAAGGTAAYTGAACAAACAATGAATGTAGTATACACTGAATTTCAGCGTTTTTAAAGCAAGCATGTCATATGGACGTTCTCATATTTACCTTGAATTAACGTCACTCTGCAGATCCAATAGCAAATATTGCATACATACTTGCACTTCTTCTAGGTTAAACACATTGAGAAATTTAAGACATTCACTTCTACTTAAGAGGTATTTGTGACCAATCTTGGGTAGATGCTTGAATAAAATCAAACACAATAATGAAATTTTCATGAGAAGTACAAATTGAGAAATGAAGCATGTGCATACAGAAGAGAGATGAAAAGCTTTAGAGTTTAGAGATCTGCTGCATAGCAGTTAAAAAATGTTTTCAATCTGCTACTACTGCCTTCTTTGATGACTTCTAGTCCTTGTATTGGAATACAAAGTCAACAATCTATTTGTACCCACCCCCAGCAAGCATGATGATTTTATAGACCTCTTTCATATCAGCCACAAGTCATTTAGTGCTTTTGATCAATTTTGCTGCTGTCTTTTTAATTTAATTATTATATTTTTTTTCCAGTTCACGCATGCCCTGCTAGAATTGTTCAGAGTCAGCTCTCACCCRCACTGCCATGAGCAATTCTGTACCATTATGGCTCTCACTTAGGTTTCCATTTTCTTTTGTGCCAATTATGAATAGGCTGAATAGGTAACGTTACAGYCTGCAGAAATCCACCTATTGTAGTACTAGTAAGAAATCCAGAGTTCAGACAATTTAACAAACTAAAAGGCTCACCAAATGGATAATCCGACACAAACTARGGATAAAGAGGGACATGGAAAGGAAAATAATGATGCAGTTGCTTTCRTACCAAAGTTATTTCTAAGCACAAAACTTACACACAAAACAAGCTTTATTCTGGTATTACTTATATTGTAATGGAACTTTGTATACTACATTCTATAGAATTCTTAGTAAACTGCATTTTCTTATAATCATGTCAATGACCAAGYATACGACAGTAAGGAAATATATTTCACATGCAAGTCTTTATGACATGAGGACACAGAGTAAATAAAAAAAGTTGTGGGGAAGCTTCCATYCTTCTATTTAGACTCAAGCTTTTCAGGCCTGAATTTAGGGAAATGGAATCACCAAGGTTAACACAAAGGAGAAAAAAAAYGGAGCCTTTTCGACATCCAATGTGGCACATTCAGGCTCTGGGCCCAAAAAGCTCCTTGACAGCAGCACTCGGTGACATCACACCTCAAGCACGTAGCTCGTGTTCCCGTACAAAAGTCCCACTTAACTTTTTAGAAGGGATTGGGCTGTTGTTATTCTTCTCGGGAACTCCCGAGTTCCCAAGATGAACAACAGCTCCAGCCTTCTAAATCTGGCCCAAAGCCACTATTTCATGCCAAGCCTGAAAGGGGCAGAGATAGTGGCAGAGGCACCAAGAAAAGCAGCTCTAGTCCATAGCATTCACCACTCGCTGGGGATCATTAAAGCTGTGGTGGGCAATAACCAGGAAGGGCCATTTAGCAATTGAGAGTGCAGTGGCARCCAGATGGTCAAATTTCTTTCCTCCCACATAACATAAAGCTGCTCTGACACACAGAATGCACAGCCTGAGAACAGTCAGGACACTGCCGAGCCCTGCTCTGCTCTCTGCTTCTAAGGAATTAGCCAGCAAGACAACAAAAGTGGTGGCAACAAAGTCTAGTGACAACAGCACATCAGACTTCCCAGCTCACACGACAAAATGGCAAATATCAGGCCCAATGAACAGYCTAAGTTTTAAATTTTCTTGTTATAAAGGACGATAGCATTGGGATAGATGATTTCTGCAATCTCAAAAGGCATTTTAAGCATTTCAGATACTGGTCTTACATCAAGATTTGCTATTTTGTCAGTTTTCTTTTTTTTTTTTTTTGCACAACTTAGGCTTTTCATTTATATTAATTTTCAGTAATATTTACATAATATTCAAGAAATTTTTGACCTTAGCTGTTCAACTTTGCTGTTATAGAAAACAGAACTACACTCACAACATATTAAAGTTGTAACAAAATCAAGATAGTCATTAAAAAAAATCACAAATTACTTTAACTCTTGAGTAGATTCATTACAAACAACCTTATATTTTAAAAGTTTTCTTTTCCCTTCAAATCCATCTGTTTTAACCATTTAAAAAAATTTACAAATCTGTGGAAGTCATCACACCTGTTTAGTCAAGATCTGTATTTGCAAACCTCCAAAAGCCAACAAGGTGTGCACTTGCAATTGATGTAACCTTCAATTCAATAAACTACTTAACATCAGGTACGACTCTCAGTATTTAGACTAACCTTTCTCAGCGTGAACTCTTCACTGTCCAGGAATGAAGACCCATCTAGACACGAACAAGCTGCTAGTCTAGTACCAATTCCTCAACTTCAACAAATACAAGCACGAAGCCTGCAGTTTTACAGAAGCCCACCAAAACCCTAAATTCTGTTTTTCTGTAGAAGAGATTAACACCGGTCAGACCTTCACATTGCAGATACCTTCACGTGAATGCAGAARCCAGCTATATTTGTAAGGCAGGCAACAGTGGATTGGTTCGAGGTAGATATTTACCTTATTCAGGTTAAAAAGGTTGCTTGCAGAGTGCATTGAGTACAAAGCGGGGCGGGAGGAGGGCACATCTCCAGTGTAAGATATCTGTCATATCAGCTTTAAATCATTTACTATGCACTCAGCGCAGGCTCTATAGAGCTTCAACAGAACTGCTTGAAAACATCTAATTGCTGAAAATAAAGCAGATATTGCTCAGGCACCCTCACTTACCTTTGAAGAAGCAGTCTTCATTGTGCACGATGGTGATCTTGCGCCTTTTCAGGCAGGCAGCCCTGTGCACCTCGCAGTGGTTTTCGTAGTACTCGCCGTCGGAGCCGCACACGGGCTTGAAATGGGGCTTGCAGCGCTCCATGCACACGCATTCGGCCTGGCCCGTCTCCCCGTTCACCGCGCAGTGCCGGCCCAGCCCGCAGTACTTGTTCTCACATGACCCCACATGGCCATCTCGACCCATGTAACCTGCAGGAGGGGAAAGAAAAAAAAAAAAAAAAGGCAAATGTTAAGTTTCGCAGCTGATAAAGTGAAATAAAATAGGAAATCTCATTCAATAGCTTTCTTTATAAGCAAAAGTAGGTACTCTAGGTACTCTACAACTGTATTAATATTTACAAGACAGTAAGAACTATCTTAGGAATTTAAGGGATTGGGAAAAAGCAATCAGAAAATTCTAGTCCTTTAATACATGAAATTAAGTGTGCTAGAAGTATCAGCATTGTTTTACTAATCTGATTCCATTTTACCATCTTAGTATCAGTGTTTTCTCTGAAAGGAAGAAAATACTTTTTTTTTAATAAAAAAAGTAATATTTCTTGGTCTAAGCAGAAGTAACCAGTAATCACTGGTGACACTTCACACTTAGATGGCAGGAGAGTTTTTTTTTTAAAAAAAGTTCTAGAACATGAACCAATGGAGAAATGAGTAAAAGTGAAATAAGATTTAGAGTCTTATAACTAAGCAAAATTCTGTCAACACTTTCTCTCAGAAGTAGGTTTACTTAAATGCAAAACTAATATAAATGCTGGCAATTCTAGAAATATAAGCATTACTGGAGTTCTGTGACACAGATTGAAAAGAGAGCAAAATGCATTACAACAAATGAAGAAATAAAGATGTTACTGAGGCAAAGGTATAATGCTGTTAAGTACACTGTGGTTCCAACTGCAGTAATTTTACCATCTGGTGCCCTTAATTATGTTCTCTMAAGAAGCCAGGCACCAGGGCTGTAAACAAGTGGGAAAAGTCTACCACTCCTGGCCACAATCCTGTTTCTGATAAACAAGTCCACATACACCTTATAGTAAGTGTTTACACTGGAAGGGAAAAGAAAGTAATAATAAAAACATCCATCTGTACAGTTGTGGAATCTCGTTTCCTCTCTGCCCCCCACAATGAAGATCAGTCCTTCACTAAAGCCAGACATCCCAGGGTAACCTGAAATACTATTTTTTTCCTAGCTTCAGAAACTACAATCCTAAGCAAGCGTAATTTCAGAATCAAGGAATGAAAAACGAATCTGATGTTTTTCTTTGAAATACTGAATTAGATGCATATACCAAGTAAAAGACAATAAAAAGTGGTGAAGTTTCATAATATTTTTAAGAGTTCCCATACTAAGAAGCTCTGTTCTTATTAGTGTTCCTTCCCACCTACTTTCAACCTCCAGGCCCCTAAAAACAACTGCCTCACCTAGTTACCATTTTTTACTCTCCACTATGTTTCCCATCTTTCCACATCCTCATTCTTACTTTAAATTTTTAGTTTCCCAGTTGTTATCCTCTTTTGCATCCTCATTTCCCGTTCATTTCATTTTAGCCCACTTTTATCATTCCTAATCTCAAAACAAGGAATTTGATCTCCAAATGCTATAAATCCCTACTACTCTAACTGTATGTAATACTTTCCTAGCCCTCACAGCCAAGCCAAGCAATGCTTGGCTGTCCCACAACAAGAAAAAAAGTGGGAAGAAACAAATGATGAGTATTTCAGGGATTTTCTTCAATGAAGAGTAAACACAACTTGGCATACTTTTCCTTCTATCCATTGAAAATCCAAAATTTCCTCCTTCTTCTCCCTCCAATTCAGTGACAGAAGCAAATTCTTACCACTTTCTTATTATGTCTACAGAACTATTAGAGCTAGGACAATTCTACTTCCAATCTTGTACACTGTAAAATCCACTGTTTTCTGCAGACAAGCCTGGTACATAAGGCAAGTTACCACAGAACTTGACAAATCCTTCTGATGTATCATTTTATAAACAATTGAAGCAGAAAGCTAGAGTCTGGATAGTTATTCCAGAAGTAATTTCCAATGCAGCCACATTACAGTAATGCTCTCTACACACGGATAAGAAAGACTAGGTCAGTTTGGGATTACTGAGAACAATTTTTAAAGGCATTTGACTTGGAATCCTCACACCCAATTTAAAACAAGTTCTCTATAAGCTTTTGAAATTCTTTATCCTTGTGCCAGTATATCATCATAGATACAAATATTTGTAGGGAACAAACATCAACTGATCAATAACTTATATAAACTCAAGTTTCTTATACTACCACTAACCCCAAATAAAAAGTTAAGCCTGAGAGTACTTTATGGAACAGGTCACATACACACGTTACAAAATTCCCTCAAAGCAAAAGAATTAGAGTAGTTTCAGGCCAAAAAAAAAAAAAAAAATCTATAAATCATTATTATTTCTGCTTTCTGAATTGGAAGATAAAGATCTCAGGCTGACAACTTTTCTGAATTATTGAGGCTGTGTGGTGACTCAACAACACGTGTATTATCAGGGGAATGGAAACTGCATTGAGACTTCACTCCAGACTTCATTTTAGTGCTATAATTGAATCTGATGCCTGAATGCAAAACAGAAACTTTCAGATGAAGTAGAAAGGTTTGCATAACATATAGTGATACATAGAATATATAGTGATATTTCTAAAACTGGCCTATGTCAGAGCATAAAGACTCTGTACATCAATATACAAGTTTCCCTTAATATAAAACTGTATTAGTTTGCTGGAAAATGTTTTATAACCGTCTAGAATTTATACTGTTAATTATTCCAATATAATACACAACTGTATGTGACACTGCATGCTTAATTTTTTCTCCTAAGTCAATAGTAAAACTCTCATTGCTTTCASCACAGATAGGCTTCCACCTGCAGCCACAGTCTTTACCTGAGGTTCAGCTATTATTGGATGGTCTCAGCATATTTACCAGTGTAGCAGCTGTTCTGTGTTGCTTTTCATTTAAGAATTTATAGATCTAAGGCCTTTCATGAAAAGGAGGAGCTTTGCAGTGTTTCAAGTGAAAGCGCAGCACATACCTAGGCAAAGCAGTTTAAGTGACCATTTTAAAAAAATCCACAAAGTAGCTGTTACCAGAACAAGCAGAGCATGTTATAAATCTGAACTTTTACACTAGTAAAGATGTTTTTGAAAAGGCTARTGACACAAACCTAAGCACTGTAACACTATCAAAATAATAATAATAATTAGTTACACGTAAGGGCAGACCTTGATCATGCACCGGTTAAGGTAATCATTACCTTCATTATGTARGATCAAATCAAATTAGTTAGAGGCACGCACTACATACTGCATTCATACAGCAAATTAGTRCAGCAGTAAGAGATATGAATGAATAGTACTTCAGAGAGGAAAAATGTCATCACAAACTACTATTCATAGGTACTACCAAGTCAAGTCTTTCCAGTTATTTATGCTATTGTTTACATTTTGGAGGAAATATACGTGCAATATAGGAAGAACCACACTTCCAATGCATAGGAGAATACGCAAACAAAAGAGGAGATACTAAGTACTAAGGCTTTCCAAAATAGTTAATAAATGCCGTTATGATAACGGCTATGTATAAAAACACCAAAATTTCAAYTCAAAACAATAATTTTAATCTTGGAACAACCTATAATAAATATATTTTCAAGCTTTCACTTAAGATTCCTAAGATGTTTCTTAGCTACAAGGACAGCTCTATAGCATTCAGAGCGGAGAAAGTTTTAGGTCATGCTTGCGTCATTTACACCTGGGAATTACACAGCAGTTTTAGTGTGCAAAAAGATCATAAGAATACTCATTTTTTCTTCTAAAGTAATCAGAGAAAAAGCGTTGCATGTGGAACCTTTGGAAATTTATGAGAAGGTGAATCACTGCATCCTCCAGTTCGCCCGAGGTTGGAAGGCACAAAACCTTTTTATATGTWGATTGCTCACACCAGGCTCATCCATCTGCCTAGGAAATAACGGAACTGCAGACTCGGACTCCTTTCTTCTCTAATAACACGGTTTGCATTCATGGCTTCTATCAAAACCTACAGCACTATCTATGTGACATCTAAAATAAGGTGGCAGCTATGCTGGGAGTTGAATCATGGAATACTTAGTGTAAAATAACTGATGCTGTTTTTTAGGGTCAGCTCCCCCAATTTTAAAAACAAAAAAAGACAAAAAACCCACAGATTTTACAGATTGTCAGTGTCAGTTGCAGCTCTACAGGTGTATTTTTGATCCTTATGTTGACTATGTATGGCCCAGTCAAGACTGTAGCTCTAATGCTAGTAAATGTTCCATGTAGCTTTAGGTACCACCCAAAGCAGAAAAATTTGGTGGGAAGGACACAAACTTGAAGATTTTACTCAATCTTACTTTTTTTAATCACGGATTATTAGGATGACCGTGAGATTCTGCTCATAAATATTTTAAAATTTAAAATTTCTAGGCCTGTTTTACTAAACTGTAATACTAGAACAAGAGTTTTTACACAAATTTGGAGATCACTAGCCAKAGCCACATATAACTATATGAACAGACTAAGGGAATAAATCTGCATTGCATCATGTTCCAGCGCTTCTCATATAAAAACTTAAGGTTTTTTTTTGTTGTTGTTGTTGTTTTTTTAAAATTTGGAACATTTGAGGAATGGAGAAAAATAACTAAATAACTTCAGAATAAGTGAAAGTTACAAGTAATTTTACTATAACAACATAAGGAACAGCACATATCTTAATAAAGACACAGACTATATATTGATAATGAGGGAATTACTTTTAGTTTTAGCAGGCAGGACAGTTAACTACAGAGCACTAAATGATCTGAATTCCAAACCAACCAGATACATTAAGCTATGCAAATGAATGGACATAGCATAAGGACACTTTAAACCACAGCTTAGGATTCAAGATAATAATTGCACAGAGACAAAATATGCAAAGCTTACTAAAATAAGTACTTTCTGTTACGTAACGGTTTAAACTGTAAAAGAACAGAAGAGAATAAGACYTTTTAAAAAGTTTAAGGGGAAGAAATAAGCCTTTGGTAACATCCTTTTTCCTCCCAGGTGATTTTCAACATTGGAAATGTAAACTAGCTCTGAAGGCAACAGAACTAGACTGAGCTAGTCCTACTTCCATGCCAGGAAAGACTCCGCTCAATA